ATTTTTGACCAGAAATTTCTTCATAATGGAAGGACTTATAAAGACATGCTTTATTTGTACGCGTACGGGGTACGATGGTACAGAGTCGATAGGTAGTCGATGGTCAATTATTTGTTCACAATGGTGGGTTTGAGAGATAGTGCGTTGTTGTGGTGCAAAATTCATGATATTAATTTTCTCAAATCTGGACTTTTCTGACGAATTTTTCTCTTAAATGCCGCATGACTTTATATAATATTCATTATACGTTGTCTAACCTTCTGTCAAGAATTTCGTGTGTCCAACACCACAGACCGACTTTGACAAGCCTTTTTCGGTTTTGAGCATTTCGGAGGTTGATATTTGGTTTGTATGTTAAAGTCATAAATCCATGCTTCATGACCAGTTACAATGCCTTTCATGCATGTGGGATTGCAATTGACTCGTACTAACATGTGTTTAGAGTTTTTAAAGATTGAATTACTGCAGAAAATTCGAAACTTTCATCGAGTAGTGATGAGCTTCAGTCCCAAAAAATCGTTCAAAATGGTCCAATTTGTTAGTGAGATACAGAAATTTCAAAGGTTGTTTCTTTGTCCATTAACAAGGACATTCAAACACCATTTTATTTTTACTGTAGTTACAAAACTGTAGAGATATGCTTAATTAAATGCTTCTGATTGGTTTTTTAAACTGAAAAGATTTGGGACATGTGTGGACAAAGACATTATATGGTCGACACATCATTCCCCTTTACGGTTGAGTGAGAAATGTACTCTCTGACCATACAGTCATATATCGCATCTCGACTGCTTCTGCAATACCATAAATAAGTAATTGTTTTTAATAAAATCGAGTTACCATAAGTCTTATAAAACATTTTCAATGCTTCGGTACAATGAAGTGTTAGTTTAAGACATGTACTTTTTTCGGTATTATTTTTCGTTGCAAAAATCGCTAAAGACAATATGTCATACAAAATATATGAAAAGTGTTGCTCAAACTCATCGCGACTATAGAAGACAAACTTGCCAACTTATCAAAAAAAAGATTTAGGACAATCTCTTTTAAAAGAGGATTTTTAAATAATCAATGCCTGGTACTTTCTTGATAGAATGTTTATAATTTCAAATCATTCTTATTGAATTTATTGCATTGAGTCCTTATTGTATGTTTACCCTTCCTATAAAAATGACATCTGCGGGTTTTAATAATATATATGATAGATAATGAAATGATAACACATTTAAGTCTTGTTGTAGCTGTGTTGTTGATTAAAAGACACTAACATTTTTGTTATTTTAAATATGTTTTCTTAAAAAATTACATATCCAATATCAAAATTTGTATTCAATTTTCAGGCAATTTATTTTAAAGTAAAACTAATTATAAAACTTAGTTTAATCGATTATTCACTTGCCAATATTTACATTTAAATATTTATTGCTTTGTGCCATATGAGATAGGTAAAATTAAATTTATATAGAAAACAGCTTCTGAATCTAATCTTATTACACAAGGTTATGCAAACATAATACTTAAGTAATGTAAACTTCAGTTCGAATGTACGAGTACGCAAGAAGGAATCCTTCGAAATAAACAAATAAAGTTATTAAGATGTTTACAAATAGATAAACTCTTTTCAATACGAAAGCAATGTTTCAAAATGTAAACAACACATTTATTTACTTAAGCCCCATATCCAGTAAGGGAAACGAACATACTAAGCACAAATGCTGCCTGCCATATTGAATCTGAAGAAACCTAAACCTAAACCTAAACCAATCCAATTCATTCAATTCGAACCCAAACCATTTTTATGCTACTTAAGGTTTATGTGAGAGTATCTCAGCGCTGGGAAATATAGAATATAAATGTATTTTGATATTTTGGTAAACATTTTGCCTATAAATAAAATGATAATTGCATGTGTGAGTGATGTTGAGAGTGTAGGGGTGAAAAAAGTGGCTGTATTGAGCCTTTGCTTGAAATGACCATTATCCTTAACTTGATTCCACTCGCCTATACGGACATAGCAGGTCTTATTTGTATGCATATAGGATATAAGAAATTTGTTGCTACATTGCTTATTTAAAAGTTATTAAATATGTTTGAGTCGAGTTTAATGGAAGTGCTTTCAAGAATTACATGTTGTGGTTTTGAGCTTTTAAAAGATTTTTTTTTTAAATTTCTCAAATAAAAATCAAGTAAATAATTTAACATTCTTTCATGTGAAAAATTGTTAAGATTAAAACGTGCTTCCACATAAAACGATTTTTTACTTTAATTTATTGTTCGCAAGTTTATTTTATTTAAATGTTCTGTGACGCTGGCCCACCCGGCGTATGTGGAATTTTTATTAAGTTATAAATATGATAAGAGAAGAAAAAGGTTGGTTGCTGTGTAAGTTGGTTCAAATGGTAAAGAAAAATTGTAAAAAATTAAAATATATTTTTGTACATTTGTTGTTGTGAGGGTAATTTAGTTGAAAGACTTTATTAGAATGTTATAAAAATAATTTATTTTAAGTGAAATTTTGTGCTGATTAAGGATAACTGAGTGGAGACATTTTATAACAGGGCTATGAATTGGATAAATTTCTAAAATAGCTTAGTTCAGCAATTCGAGAATACTCTGAATCATTGGTTCGATTTACTGGTTTACTACTGCAGAGGTAAATTGTTTCGGCTTGGTTAAAAAGTCGAGATTTACCCGCTAAAATCTGTTTAGTTTTGAATCAGTTTATAGCTCAGTTATATATTTGGTGGATTTATGAATTTGAACAGATTAAGTCTTTAATGTAAGGAAATGGCTGTTATGTGTAGCATATCTAAGAATTTGTGTAATGAGGTTAACATTTAGAAAAAGTTGCCACGGGTATAAAGTCAATAAGAATTATTTTTTTTAATAATGCTACATATAAAACGTATCTAATTAATTTTCAAAAATTAATTAGATAATAACAAGCTTGTTAATAAATTGTAATTATAATGATTAATGTATTATAAGTGAAATAATTAATTTCGAATATAATTCCTTTTTTTAATTCTACATATTTCGCCAATCTTTTAGAAAATTTATGTTTATCATGCTTGTCTTTTGTGGCAAGCTATTCATCGAGCCATTTTCTAACCACCTTGAAATTATTAAAGTACTGCTCTGCGAGTGCGTGCCCCATTGATGCGTAGAAATAATAGTCAGTTGGCGCCAGGTCTGGGAATGCGAATGTATGACGGAAGGATATCCCATCTAAATAATTTTACGGTATCGTGTAACAAAATCACTTTCCATGTCTTCTTGCATGAACTTGGTCGTCTTACAATCAATGTGTGACTTAAAATAAGCATTTGTTTTCGGTAAAGTTGTACGTTAACAGTTTCGTCGGGCTTTAAGTTTTCTGACTGGTCCCTTTAGACACAAAACATGGTTTTGTTGCCGAAGCGATTCGCCATTGGTGTTGAAGAACCGGCTTCGACAGGTGAGAGTTACTATTTTTTTCCAATAAAAATTTTTAAAATAAATTCTTTTTCCGTTATTTTCTTTCGCGATGTTAAAGGAGTATATCACAAGTGACTGCAATTTTTTATTTGACGTTTAGTCAAATCATGTGTGACCTATTTATTCCGTTTATTGATCTTCCCTATATCACTTAAACCTGCTCATTATTTTTTGTCACACAATTTCTGTTAAGTTTGAGTTATGTTATCAACCATTAACTTCTTTTACATAAAAATCACCACTTTTAATTAACCATGTGTTACATGTCATCAGCAAACGATGACTTTCAGCTACTTTTTTCTTTTGTTTAAATCAGAATAGCCATGTGGGACGCAAATATTCTTTTGCAGGCACAAAATTCAACAAGATCGCTGAACGATAAAATAAAGATACTAGTTTTTGGCGGACTCAATGTGTTTGTAGTTAAGCCTGAAACTTATGCATGTATCTGGTACTTTACAGAATTGTAAACTTTTGTAGATTGACTGCAGGATTTGCATAGTCAATCTTATTTTACTTTAAATAAACTAAAACGACCTATTTTCTTTATCTAAAATCATAATTGTTTTAATTTGATTCGATATATCTATAGTAAATCAAATAAAAACATATATATTTATGCTTCTACGATTTTAAAACATCATCATCATCCATAACTATAGATTATATAGTTAGGACCTAATCAAGATTTACGACATTCTTGGATTCTACTCTATTTATGGCTTTCCAGTTAATGACATTTATATCTCTCAGATATTGATATTGTTAAACATTGTCACTAAATTTCTTTCTCGGTTTTTCTTTTCTTCTCGTTGCTCTAACTTCATTCTTGAAGACTCTGTCTGCTCCTCTTTCTTCTGGCATCCACACAATGTCTCCTATTTACTTGAAGCGTTATTTTTTTATGTGCTTGAGTATTGTGTCACCTTTCATTAGTTGATTAGGTTCGTCATTATATCTCATATAATATTTCTCGTTTCCTTGCAGTGCTCCAAATACTTTTTCATAATCCTTATTTCAAGATTTTAAAACATAATTAGTAATAAGAATTAAATAAACTTTGTAATATTGCAATAATCTTTAACAAGAGCTGGAAAGAAACCATAGTTTTTTATCCAAAAATATTTCACAATTCATGTTGCATAATTTATAAAATTTTGATTAAGTATGTCTGGTCTTAGCTCGTATTTTTGTAAAATATTTGCTAACTTTTTTAAGCTTCCCTCACACAAAAAGTGTTGCCTTTAAGTGTGTTTATCTGTTTACTTGCAATCTTGTTTGTCAGCACAACACAAACGCATAAACGAATGCTGCACAACGTTGCGTATGAGTAACTTTTAATTATTTTTTATGAGCTTTCTTAATTTAAAACTTTATGATTAAACTTTGTAAGGAGCGCATTTAATGCCAAATAAGCCACATGCACAACTTAAGCTTAACGCCGATATTTATGCCACCGCAAACAAAAGTAAAGAAGTATTCTTGCAATAAATGACAGAAAAATGTCTCAAAACTTTACTTACGTGACTTAGCGCCATCAGTGCCGGATTTTTCAACATTTTCAGACTTCGACTTACTGCCAGCGCGTTTGCCATGGTTCTGGTGTTGTTGTGACTTGAGCAATTGGCGCTGTTTGCTTTTGTTATTACCATGCTGTTGCTGTTGATGCTGCTGCTGATGTTGATGTTGTTGTTGTTGTTGATTGGTTGCAGCTGCTGAAAATTTCTTATCTGCGTGTTTATGGCCTCCGTTTGATGCATTTTCCGGTACCATGTTCTTGTTAAGTTTTTTATTATTATTATTGTTATTTTTACCACGTCTGCCAGCACCAACGCTACCATTATTGTTGCTATTAGGTACAGAAACTGGAACAGCTGATGATCCCATATCAACCGCATCACGCGCTGGACGCACCAAAACATTACCCGAATTCATAGCTAACACCAATTTTGCCGATGATGATGATAATGACGATGACGATGATGCTGATGCTGATGATGGAAATGACTTTGCAAATACTGAATGCTTTTTTCCGCTTCCGTTTTTATGTACATTGGCGGATGCCAAGCCTTTCAAGCCATAAATCAATGTCGGCTGAAATGCCAACATGGCTAACAAAAGAACGGATAACATTAAGAGATTCATTTTGAAATGAGTTGTTATTGTTATTGCTGCGTTTAATATATATATTGTTACTGCTGTTGTTGTTGTTGTTGAGTGAAGTTGACTACAACCAAGTGATACAAAGATAGTATAGGCGTTTGGGTGTTGCAAAATAAAGCTGTAAATATAATAAGAAAGATTATGAATATGAGTAAGCGAAAGTATATATTGTATAATTAAACTGATTATATATAAGCTTATTTATATTATTCATAATTAAACTAAGTTATTTAGTTTTAGTTACAATTTTTTTCAAAATAAAATAAAATATTTTCTTTCTCTAAACTCTGTCAATCTGCTTCGTTACGCCTAATCACCAGTGTCCAATTTCCTTAGAAGCTTAATGTTTAATGATGTTTGAAATGATTTTTGTCATTTGCTGATAAGAGTGACTTTAGTCCTACGCACACTCACTGCTCATTAAATACACAATTTGCCTAACGTATTTATTTGCATTTATACACAATTCATTTGACAAATAGCGATGGCTAATGTTATTAACTGCAAAATATTCCAATTGCAAATAACTTGCTAAGAGCTTTGTTATTTTGACGTAATATTGGCGAATTCTTGCCTCATTTATATTCGTCTGTATATTTTATTATATGTATGGATATATACACATGTATGTTAGCGCAATGTTCTACTCCTTAACTAACTAGCAAATCCGGTAAGCTTCATTTTATTTACTTGGGCATATATTTGCAGTATTAATTAATGCAAAGGACAACCGCTAAATGCTTTGTATATAAAGCAAGAGGCTTTGTGCTATTTTGGCCCTTATGTTTGTCTGTCGGTTATTGATATTACCAACGAATTCATTCCAGCAAAAACCAATATTTTCATACAAAATTTAATTTATACATACTTGCACGTATTGAGTTTTGAAGCTGCTTAAGTTATTAAATTAAAAATTTAAATGAAAAAATTATTAAATATGCAGAGAGCGATTAAATTTTCATAATAAATTCTATTAATTAATCATAATATATGTATATATAATTTTTAAAAATTTTATTTTATTAAACAGTTTTTACTTTCTTTTTAAAAAAGAAATGATGAAGCTGGGATCTGAACTCATAGACTGTGCTCTATTTTTAATATCAGTACCGGTAAAGGATTAGTTAGCTGTGCAGCATTTCAGATAAAACATTTTAGTAAATAAAATTGTTCTAAGATTTTTGTGGATTTATATACAGACTTATATCTCCGATGTGACAGAAGTCTAATTTTTAATATTTTATGTTTTTAGATCATTCTAGAATATTTTGGCAAAACATACATACGAATTCAATTTTTATATGACACATAAATACAGAAACTATGATTAGCAATTTTTTATGACTTATGTACGGTCAACAAGTTTTTTAAAATGGCATACAAAAGTGAATATAGCTTAATAGGTAAAAATTAATTGAAAACTTATAATGATCAGCTTTCTGATATTCGAATTTCGACACTAGTGAGATACGAATATCTGAGAAATAAGATGTTCATGTGTCCAGGTACCTAACACTGACATGTTTAGCTAACCATCATGAGGTGCATTCAGAGAAGCCCGTCATGCTCGATTTGTTAAGTATATAGCTGGACGCCTACCAGAGATATCACAGCAGTTTGACTGTCCGAAAATAATACGATATTTATATAGGTGATCTTATTACCTAGGACCCATATTGTTGTATAGTGCATCGCCACTATTTATGTCTGAAAGACACTGCAGTGGTTTGTTAGTCGAATCGATTTATTAAGACCTAGCTTATAAGAAAATATTTTACTTTCAACTCTTTCATCTAATTTGGAGACCTTAGTGCAAATGTCAAAAATTCAGTTTTTCCTACTTGGTATAAAAAAGTCAAACTTCAGATCTAGGTTTAAGTTAGAGTTAGTGTAGTCAATTGAGATTTTATTTGCTCTATACTTGAGTATGATAGCGTGTGCTATATCAATTTCAGACCAGTGCAAGAGAGCATTAAGTCTGGTTGTCATTTATTTCGCTAACTAATTTACCAGAAGTCGAGAAGTGAAGCGAAAAGACCAATTGTGGGAGTGAAATGTGGAGCTTCAGTGATTTGCAAGGCTCTCTTGCATCTCTCCCACGTAAACGAGCAGATTTATGTACTTGGCCATTTCAGTTATTCGTCAGGAAAAGGCAGCCCTGAAAAATAAACGGAAATGGGAACTTCATTGAAAGGAAGGTTCAATGATAGCTGTATGCAGCCACAGCATAATTCGAGAACATTTCGAATTTACAGCTATTCTACAGCAATAAGTAGTACATGTAGCTTTACGGTGTCTTTCAGCCATCTTCGCCTTCCAGCTGGCCTTGTAAGTAAGTATAAGATGCAGATATTTAACATTCATTATAATCACATTTTTTTTTATTCTTGTGGTTGAAAAAAATATATTAATTTACCAACATAATATATATAAATTCATCTATATTTAAGAATTATTTTCTAATATAATTCAATTTACAGATTATGTTTTATTGCAGATGACTTATTTATAAATTAATGCTCTTTGTTACGATTTAAGTTAGTTATTCATTGAAATATTACTTGAATTTCAATGTTTTCAATTTTTCGATAGATTTTTAAGAAAGTAAATGTTCACAAAATGAAAATATCATTCCTCTGCACCAAATCTATCCGCTTACCGGATATTTTATATCCGATATAAATCCGATATAAATATTAACTATTTTTAATACTGTTTTGGTGTTTTGTATGGCCATTAAAATCTTGAAAAGCAGAAAATATAGTTTTATGAGTGAATAAATAAATAAATACTTATACCGTCTAGATATCGATTTATGAACTTAATCAGCATCGAATACTATAATCTAATGTCTCAATTATTTCTATTACTTTCTATTTATAATAGAATCCTTTTCATAACGGCAATAATCACTTTTAATTATTACTTTCTACTTATAATAGAATTGATTTTATAGCGGCAATAATCACTTTTAATCATTGCTATATTAAAATCGATATACACTATAATTGTAATTATATAGTATGTATATTTTGCTGTTTGAAATTCATTTTCAGCTTTTTCTTATTTCATTTACTTTACTTTTCCCCTACTATACTTCAATGCCGCATTTGTAAATAAAATGAAAACTTTTAATGAAATGTTTTCGTGGATTAATCATAAATATTCGCATAACTGATCACAATTATATAGTGAAAAGTTTAAAATAATTATTTTAATTAGAATTTTTACTGTCAGCAGTTATAACTATAGCTATAGTAAAAAAAAACTTCCAAATGGTACCAATAAAGTACAATGATTAGATTTTGCAACTCTGCTTTGCACTGAAATGCAATATTGCAATTTTAAAATACAGAAAACGTTTCTGCATAAATCGAGAAAATTATTCAAGTGCATTTTAACAAATCCACGCAACGACAGAGGTACACCATGGCGTATACGTTACGAATTAAAAGTAAATCCTGTGCAAAAAGTTAAACGAAGAATAAAATTAAAAAAATAAATTAAAAAATTAGTGTAAGGAAATTTTACGCTTATACTTTATTTTTTGTTTTACTTTCTTTTTGCTTTTATTGTTAATTTTTTTTCGCTTTTGTTGTTGCTGTTGTTGTTAGCAATGTTGCTGCTATAATTTTTCTTGGAAACTGCTTTAAACAACTTCACTTTACATAATTACACAAACAACCAACAAAATAAATGTATAAACAAAAACAAGAAAGCACTGCAAGCAAAATAGCGATGAGAAAGAAGGGAAATAAGAATAATAAAACTAAAAGTCAAATAAAATAAAATACCAAAATAAAAGAGGGAAAAAGTAAAAAATTAGTAAAAAATTTATTGCACCATTGTGTGTACTTGGCACACAAGTATGTGTGCGTATTAAATTGTATTGATATTGTGAACTTTCGCACACAGCAAGTATTTGTTTTTGTATGTGTGTGTACAACATGTTTATAGTGTTACGGAAATGGTAATACAATGGCTGTAAGTTACTTTTTTCTCATTGTTTAAAGCGTCAGCTGGCTCCTACGGAAATATTTTGTTTTTGTACGAATATTGCAGGGAAGGATTTACAACAGAAACAAAAACAACAACAACAACAATGATACCATGAAATTTAAATAATTTCATGCTAAATTTAATGCAATTTTATAGCATAGGTTGAGGCAATACCAAGAATTGTTTTTCGATTATTATTAAAGGCTTTTGTGTAGAGGTTAATGAAAATAATAAATAAAAATAATATAAATTTTCTTTCTTTTAGTTCTTTATTTAAAACGAATTCATACAAATAAATTGTATTAAGTATTAAATTTAACTTTGATGCCAGAAATAGTATTTATTTTTAAGCTAATTTATTTATTTCTTAAAAATATTTAAATATATTTGCTAGAAATCCGCTACTTTAAATATTTGTTCACTCTCATTGGTCGTTGCAGCTGTGCATTTTATTCAAATGTAACCTAATGCATATATGATTTGCCAATTTATATGTCAGCTGGTTGTCATTTATGCTTTCCTTTTTATTTAAGATCTGGTTGTGGCGGACAAGAGTAAGTAAAACAATTAACAAATAATTTTAGGTATAAATACTAAATGAATCACTATATCACTACATCACTATATCATAACATCACTACAATTATAAATAAATAAAAATTGTACACAGATGTGAAGCTGTTAAAATTGATTTCTAATAATATTAATGTCATATATATTCCAGAGATGTCTTTATTTAGAGTAAAGAACAAAAGAATGGTATTTAAGAGAAATTTTAAGCCTAATGCCATAAATAGTAATTACTTGCTTTTATAAACTCTTAAAAATAAATAATAGGTATATAATAATATATACATTTATTTATATATTTGTATTAAAAACTTTTATGTACTATTACCAAAATTCACGTGAATTTAACAGGAAGATGTTGCATATTTTAAACTTTTTTATACTAGAACGATTTTTTAAATGATATTTCAAATGAATTTAGAAAAATTTTATTAAAAAAGAAATGGAAATGTACCAAATATTTCTATTTTATTGAACTAAAAAAGTATTCTCTATCAAAAAACTATTCAGTTTTACAGTTTCATTTATATTAAAACACCACTTTT